GAAACCAGATCATTATCTTGTTGTGAACCTTTTGGCTTCACCGAATCACAACCCAGGTTACCCTACCTTCAGTGAACCCTTGCAGAGTGTGGTTGAGACGATTCGTCACAACTATTATCAAAGTAGATAAAATAAGCTTAATATATAATACTCAAAGAATACTTATTTACCATTATTAACATTCGGTCTAGTTTATACATATTATTATCCACCTTTTTAGCTTCACTGAATTATAACCCTTATATTATATAATACCTTCAGGAAACCCTTTTAGACTGTGAGTAAGAGATGATTCGTTGTAGAAACCTAGAGTCGACCTGGTAGTGGCTGAACTGTTCTCTTAAATTATGATGTCCTTCATTATGTCGGATGTCATACTGGATTCTTGTGAAGGATATCTTGTTGATATTCCATGTGTCGACATGGCGGTGCCACCATATAAACATCAATACCAGAATATGATAGATGCTATCAACAAAGATACATGGATGGTATAATAGCCCATCGCTTTCAGTCTACCATCTGCCGTTTGTTAATTAGGATGTGCGCGGGCTGGTGCCACTGCAGCCAATACTATGGACTTGCTCATGTATCCTTTTGATACAATCAAGACCCGACGCCGGGGTCAGACCGAACCGGATATCAATCGCCACTTTTCATCTAGGTACGGGCCGGCCGTGGCTAGAAATGGCCTTGTCTGTGGGTTCGGGGACGTGGCCCTCGTAAGCCTCTCGACTGGTGAGCGGGCACTCTTAATATCCGCAGCCTCGTGGATAGACTGGATTGAATACAATTGGATGCCCCGCTGGTAGCCGTCGTCTTTACGAGTTACAAGTCGGCCAGAACCAGCCTTAAACATTCTTTGCTCGTGAAAACACCAGCACCCGGTATCCATGTAACTGCCTCAGGTGGCGCAGAGATGGCATCGTGCCGTGTTCTCACTTCGGCCGAGGTCATAAAGCAGAACGCACAAGCCGTACGACAACCAAGCTCACTAGGAGCTAGCTCGTTTGCCCCCTTCGAGGCTTTGCACACCCTATAGCAAAGGGGGGACATGTTGACACGGATGGTTGGCAAGGGGTACACTGCCCTAATCCCACGAAGTTTACCCTGCACGGCTTTACAATTCCCAATACTTGAATGGGTTCGGAACAAGCTCTGGGAAAGGCGACAGGAAACTTTGCCTCCGCAAGAAGATTGAGAGATAGTCTTCTGACGCCTCAAGATACCCGATCCCAACTCGTCGACGTTGGGTTGGTGACAGGAATCTCAGGGATTAATTGCGGCAATAACGACCACGCTGGCCGACGTGATCAAAACTAAAGCAATGCTTGGGGCTAAGGGAGTACATGGTGGTACATGTGGGCCCTGTGGTCTTGTGAATATTGTTAGGGTTCTTATTCGGGAGAGGGGTGGCCGGCTTGTGTCGTGGTGGTGCGTTGCGCGCGGCATGGGCTTCACCAGGAAGCGGACTTTATCTAGGCTCGTATGAGGTAACGGAGGCGTGGTTGGGGCGTCGGCCGACTGACGGAATTGATACCATCTGATGGTGATGGGTGTTGTCAGTGAGGAAAGGGGCCACGGGCAAAAGAGTGGGGAGATTGAGAGGAAGTTGAACCATTGGCCTGATGCGGCAGATTATGCGGCGCGGTGATAGGTAACTATTGACGAAAGACAAAGCTAAACCGGGCTACATAAAGGTTAACAAATTTTTGCATATTGCATTGAGCTCGGACAACCCCCCCTGCGTAGTGATGGCATTGCATCATCAGATGCCGTTTGTCTCTTTTCGCGCTTCGGAGGGTCCGGCGCTTCCGGCGTTTAACCGATGCCTCCGAACACCGCCATTCCGTCTCGGAAGCACAAGTGAACCGCTGTCTGGATTCCGGGCCTGGCACTCCCGGGGCAGTGGCCGGCGCATCCAACATCACCCGGTTGTGTGTTGGCGGATACACCCCTGATGTTCAAAGTTCAGATGGGGGGCGGGGTCCTAGCCACAATGTAGTAAGAAATAACCGATTACCACAAGGAACCCCCTTCGCCAACAATTGCGCTGGTATGACTCGCGGTCTGATAGATGAAAGAATGGTGACCGTTTTTCTGTGCTTCGAAGAATGTGTCGGAATGCGTGTTGGAGACTGGGATGCGCACAATGACACCACCCCTGTAACCGATGGCGCGATTCGCATGGTTTCAGCAACAATGCCTGGGAGGTGGTTTTTCTTGCATCGCTCGGCGGGTCCAGGGGAAAGGGCCAGGCACAATCAAAGATTCGTGATTTCCTGGCGGCATTTCACCAGCGGGCGGATGTCTGCTACCGCGCTCGGTGGGCGCGGCTTTTAACAGCATGCCTCGCTATCCTTTCTCCCCACACGCTTCCACTGTCCTAGGTCCCACTAAGAGACACAACACGGCCACCGCTGAGCCTGACGAAGACACATCATTGAGCTTCAATTAAACGCCCAATACCTCGTCTCCCCTTCCTCGACCCGTGGCGTACCCCCCAATCGAGTGTTGGTTTATATCGCCGTTGATCGGACACCATGGCAACACCACGAGGGCCGGTGCTCGTGGCGGAGGTCCAAAGCATGCCGTTTCCAGATCCAGATGTCAAAGACTCAACGGTGGTCTCTGAGATCCAAGCTGAGTCCAATTCGCCATCACCAAGCCAGGACAGGTTCCTCGTCGCGTCGCCATACCATGAACGGGAACATCTCCTGGATCTGGACACCCTTGACACAGAAAATCAGCTTCTTGCTCTCTCCCTGACGAAGATGAAATCCTTACGAGAGGATTACGCCACGGCGCCGTATCTCGACACCTTTAATTGGGATGAAATCATCGACACGCTCCGGGTACTAGCCCGAGGAATCGACCATACCTGGAGGAAGACCTCCTTCTTCGTTGTCGCCTTTCGTTCTCGAATTCCTCCGACAACGGTTTACGCCGAGCTTGGTACGCTGGATAAAGCTGCCCACGCAGAGGCTACGGCCAGTGGGGGTTTTTTGAAGTATGTGGTGCTGGCCTCTGCGCTGCCTGAGTGATGCCTAGCTGACAGTTGTTGCAGGTATTGGTTTGGGAATCCTGATGTCGATGGGCGTAACTTGGCGACCTGCATCTGGCGAACCCAGGAGGATGCCAAGAAGGGGGGAATTGGCCCGGCTCACCGTCGGGCAGCTGGTGCGGCCAGGTCGTTATACTCACACTGGAAGATTGACCGTCACAGGTTGACGATTGAGGACGGGATCCAGGGCTGGGCGATTACCGATTGGGAGGAGTAGAAAGTGGCGGTAAGATTGGCGTTCCATTGGTGCGTGCTAGGTTTCTTGCTCCGAGTGATGTAGCGACAACAATATCCATAGAAGTAGGTAATAAAGTGCAGAAAGAACTAGACGATGGGGGATAGTGGTGCCTGCTGTAAATCGTGCGGATCCGATGTGTTCTTAAGTGTGCGACTGACTAGACTTGAAACGGGTGACTTGTGAGGTCAAGAACGGGGTGGTTAGGAGAAGGTTAACTTGGGTTGCATGGCATGTTTAGGGGAGGTCGTCATTTTAAGGTGCTGAACGTGTGTGCCTGAGGGGGTGTCGGCGTGGGGGAGGGAACGGGGAACGTGGGGTGGTGGCTCGACGTTTTAGCGTCAAATCACGAGATTGGATTGTTTAGAATCTTACGACGAATTATAGACATTCGCAGCAAATGCTAACGAGATAGTCTAATATTTTCATTTCGCCAACGTATGAAGTGTTTATTGAAGACGAGATTCATAGTCCAAGGGGAAGAGAGGGTCATATCATCTTACTTGCCTCGTCTCGGCAGTTCAGTCACATAGTTGGTTGCCAGGGGCAGGCTGTCGAGAAACGGCGATGAGCTCAGCAAACGCCACAACGCCAAGCCACACCCCCCCGCCTTTCTGAGCACCTCTCCACTTCTGGCTTGAGTTTTCAGCCACACCTTTTTTTTTGGGTGGTGCCCACAAACGAACGAGATTTGCGAAACCCCCAAAAGTTGCGACTTCCAGCGATCCGGCGCAAATCCAGTCCAGTAATTTTACGCTGGAAGAACATCCGGCCTTGAGATCCTATCACCTTATCAAGCCCACCTTCCGGATTCCGCTCAGTCAGCTGCAGAACAACATGGCCGACGCGCAAAAGGATGTGCCATTCAAATCGGCACAGGTCGAGTCACTGGTTTGTCCCAACGGCTACCCCTCCATGGACCCCTCCAGCGCGAATCGCTGACAGTAGCGCAGGTGGTGATGAAGATTGTGAAACACTGCTCTTCCAGCTTCCCGACCCCTGCCACCGGGTCCCTTGTAGGAATGGACAGTAACGGTTTCCTTGAGATCACGAACGCTTTCCCATTCCCTACCGTCGATGTTTCGAGCACCGACAGCCACCAGTCCGATGCCTCCAGCCTCGCCGCCGCAGCCCCTCGTGCGAAGGCCAATATCGCTTACCAAAACGAGATGATCAGGCATCTAAAGGAAGTTAATGTCGATGCCAATAATGTGGGGTGGTACACCAGCGCTACCATGGGCAACTTTATCAATCTCAGCTTCATCGAGAACCAATACCACTACCAGCGCGACAACGACAAGACGGTCGCCCTCGTCCACGACGTGAGCAGGAGTTCACAGGGCGCCTTAAGCCTGCGTGCATTTCGGTTGTCCGCCGAGTTCATGACTGCTTTCAAGGAGGGCAAGTTTACAACGGAGAGGTTAGTGAGAGCGGTTAGAAAGGGGCTTGTGCTAGCTTTCTTTTCGTAGGGTTGATGATGAGTGCTGACCTAGACCGGGTATAGCCTCCAAAAGTCCAAGCTGACGTTCCGGGACATCCTCGTCGAGGTCCCCGTCATCGTTCACAACTCCCATCTCCTTACCTCCTTCCTACATCAAATTCCCGCCCCTCCGGATTCTGAGGAGATACCTCTCCCCACGTCGCTCGAAGATATCCACCGTGATCCCGCCAAGCTCCCCGCGCACCCGTCATTTGATACTTTGGATCTTTCGATTGACCCCTTCCTCGAGAAGACATGCGACCTACTCCTCGATAGCATCGAGTCCCACTACTCGGACCTCAACAACCACCAGTATTACCAGCGGCAACTTACCCGCGAGCAATTCAAGATCACACAATGGCAAACGAAGCGTAAGGCGGAGAACGCTGCGCGTTTGGCCGCCAAGCAACAGCCGCTACCCGAGGACGAATGGCAGAGGCTGTTTAAGCTCCCCCAGGAACCCAGCCGACTGGAGGGCATGCTTAATGCGAGGCAAGTTGAACAGTACAGCAAGCAGGTCGACGGTTTCACGGCTACAATCACCACCAAGATGTTCGCTGTCAGGGGAAATTTGTTGCCCGAGTAAAATAATCGAAACTGAACGCTCGGGTTTGTGGGTTGCGGTGGCGGGGACTCGGCTGGCGGGCACAGTGGTTAGGGTATCTCGAGTGCATTCGGTCTGGCGTTCCGGGTCATGGGCGTGTTTGCTAGCTTTCGCCGGGGTTTCGAGCCTACCATGATGAGAATAGAATATATTCCTCGGGACTTTGTGTGTGCTGGTCGTACCCTGCAATGATGTATACGAAGAACAATAGCTAATCAGCTAGTGAGCAGCAAGATGGTCCGGAGAAGTTGGGGGGAACAATCTCTTGTCCGCGACAAGAGCTCGTTTCAGCCTTCAAAATTGATTATCTCACGCGGCAGTTGATGCGCGACGCCTCGACCCTGTCAGTACTCCGTAGTTATGCCGATTTCCCCGGACACTCGGAGTTCATCGCTCGGAGTCGGGATGAATGGACTGGCATCCGAGACCTGGCTTCACGGCACGTTCTTGCTCTCCAGCTGCCCAATTGGAGGGTGAGTGTCGGTGGGGGGCGCGTAATAACCGAAACGGGGCTAGCAGAGGGGGCTGCAGTCCCTCTCACCGACATGCCCGGTTCTTCCCCTTTCTGGCCGTTGTTATCTCGGGGGTTTTCTTTGCTCAACACGCCGGTCCAAGCCTTTCTGCGATGCCGGAGCACCAAGCAATTGAGTTAGGCCCCTTGCAAACAAACTATGAAACATAAGGGAAAGAAAATAAAAGCAGGAAAGCAGCAAACACTACACAGGCCGCTTGTAGAAACGACTCATCGATCGTGGCCAGCAAATCGTCTCACTAATTTCCCTAACGTCAGGCCGCAATGCTTCCCCGGAACCCCCAGTCCGCCGTCGAGGTTCTCACCGCATCCGACACTCTCCTTGCTTCCCCCGAACTGCCGTTGTTCGGCCATTACTTGAGAAACTCGCCTGGACCCATTTTTATTACTGCCCCTCACCGCACCCCGCAAATGCTGCCCCTCTTTAAAAGTAAGCCTGCAGGTCCACATCCGAGAATTTCTCCTCTGCCCCTCTCCTCTTCCCGAGCTTTATCTCTGGGTTTGACTTCCTCCCTCCTTTTCCATCTCTTTTCTTTTTCAACTTTGACCTTGGCCTTACTTCCACCAACACATCACCGAACAGACAGACACAATGGCCGCTCCCGCGCACAAGTTCAAGGTCGCCGACCTGTCCCTCGCTGCCTTCGGGCGCAAGGAGATTGAGCTGGCGGAGAACGAGATGCCCGGTCTCATGTCCATTCGCACCAAGTATGCCGCCGACCAGCCGCTCAAGGGCGCCCGCATTGCCGGCTGCCTGCACATGACTATCCAGACCGCCGTTCTCATCGAGACGCTCGTTTCGCTCGGTGCCGAGGTTACCTGGTCCTCGTGCAACATCTTCAGCACCCAAGACCACGCCGCTGCGGCCATTGCGGCGGCCGGTGTCCCCGTCTTTGCCTGGAAGGGCGAGACCGAGGAGGAGTACAACTGGTGCTTGGAGCAGCAGCTTGTTGCCTTCAAGGACGACAAGAAGCTCAACCTGATCCTCGACGACGGTGGTGATCTCACCCACCTTGTGCACACCAAGTACCCTGACCAGCTCAAGGATTGCTACGGCCTGTCCGAGGAGACCACCACTGGCGTTCACCATCTGTACCGCATGCTCAAGAAGGGCGAGCTTCTTGTTCCTGCCATCAACGTCAACGACTCGGTTACCAAGTCCAAGTTCGACAACCTCTACGGCTGCCGCGAGTCCCTGGTGGACGGCATCAAGCGCGCCACCGACGTGATGGTTGCTGGCAAGATTGCGGTCGTTGCTGGTTTCGGTGATGTCGGCAAGGGCTGCGCTGTTGCCCTCCGTGACATGGGTGCCCGCGTGCTCGTCACCGAGATTGATCCCATCAACGCCCTCCAGGCCGCCATGGCCGGGTACGAGGTCACGACGATGGACAAGGCCAGCCGTGTTGGTCAGATCTTTGTCACCACCACTGGCTGCCGTGACATTCTCGTTGGGAAGCACTTTGAGGCTATGCCCAACGACGCCATTGTTTGCAGTACGTCTCTTGCTTGCCATCTTTGTCTCCTTCTACTTCCCTCCTCGGCCGTTTTACCCCTGGGAGCTTGACCGGTCACTAATTGAAGCGATATAGACATTGGCCATTTCGACGTTGAGATTGATGTCGCCTGGCTCAAGGAGAACGCCCAGTCTGTGCAGAACATCAAGCCCCAAGTTGACCGCTTCCTGATGAAGAGCGGCCGCCATGTCATCCTCCTTGCTGAGGGTCGTCTGGTTAACCTTGGCTGTGCGACTGGCCACAGCTCCTTCGTCATGTCCTGCAGCTTCACCAACCAGGTCCTGGCACAGATCATGCTCTACAAGAGCAATGACGAGGCCTTTGCCAAGAAGTACGTCGAGTTCGGCAAGAGCGGCAAGCTCGAGACCAAGGTCTACGTCCTGCCCAAGATCCTCGATGAGGAGGTTGCCCGTCTCCACTTGGCTCACGTCAATGTCGAGCTTACTTCCTTGACTAATGTTCAGGCCGAGTACCTCGGCCTCGATGTCGAGGGCCCTTATAAGACCGACCAGTATGTCGTCCCCCATTGTCCTCCCCATTCTGTGATTTACAGTGCTGACGGATCCTAGTTACCGCTACTAATTGTACACATCGGCGTTCGTTCCTGGCGGCGGTAGTCGTACCAGGAGCATCGCAGAGGTGTGGGGGCAACGGAGTTTTCTTTGCGATAGATCTTCAACATTTGGATCCCGGGCACGCTTTACGGGGCATGTTTTGGGGCTGGTTTCGGAGCATTGTTTTTCAACAGGCATGACTTGCATGGCATATTGGGTTCAGGTCGGGGCATAAAAAAGGCAAATAATGGGGCGGGGTCTGGTACACATTTTCAACAAAAGTACGGCGTTGGCTTTGGCTCATGATATCCCACCTACACACCAACGGGCGGCGTTTAACTGGGGAGGAGGGGGGAAATGGGAAGGGGGAGAATGGATGGCTTGTCATGTTGGTGCGCAACAGCGCACTTTCTTCTAGAATCGGAACCAGTAGGAGAAGATCAACGGTCCCGTCAACCGGGATTAAGAGGAATACAGGACATTGTAGTTTGGTCGAGTATTAGGTACCATCCATATCAATGTCGTTTATTCACTCGCCACTGGGACATGGAATCTCGTGCACATAGTGTTTTGCTGTGGCTTTTACTCGACAGATAGGGTGGATTAGCAGAAGCTTCGGCTCGCGCATTGTAACCGCCCATGTTCCGCCATCTGCCCCGTCCAAGCAGGCGTCGGGTGCCGCAACCGCCAACCATTGTGCCTCGGGTCTGGGGCGCCAATCGGGGGCGCGTCGAGCGCATCCGAGTTAATGGCATGGAGGAGGTTGCCCCAGCGTGTCGGGTAGTGCAGCAGGTGGTACTAGGTTGGCTTCCACTGGAACCGACCGATGCGGGGACCGTGGGGAAGGGAGCAAGCGAAGATACCTTGGGTAGGTATGGAACGTGGCGCCCCTTCCTAGTCAAGTTTGCGACTGGTTTCTAGCTTGGTTTTCTTTTTTTTCTTTAACAACACCACGACGCCGTGGGCAAACCCCTCTTCTGGACATTTGAACATAATTTGGTCGGGTTGGGGCAGTACGCCTGCATATATCGTGCCATTTTTCGTCGAAATATGTATGTTCCCCTGCCCTGGCCTGGCTATCGCTCTGTATTACTCATTCATACTTACTCGTGAATGCAGCTTTACGGGTAATTTATTTACCTCCGTTTCAAGATTGCTCGGGTAAAATGGCCTCCAAGGATGAGGTCCGCCTGAAGGTGTTGCTCCTGGGAGCCATCGAACAGTATGTTGCTTTATTTATCCTGTCATCCCACCGGTCTATTATCCTTGTTGGTTGGATAAGCATACACAAGGAAAGCCAGGCGAAACAAAGGCCGCTAGGAGGGGGATTTACCACCCTGTTTAGGGGATGGTGACCGTGACGAGACTGGTTGATGAAAATACAACGGTGACCCATTTATCGCATCCGGACGGTGCTATGATGCTATCATTGAGCCATAACATCAACTTACACTATTCACGCTCTGAATCAAAAGAGGAACAAACTCACTAACCCTTTCATAGCGCCCACCAAGCCTGGTCAACCATTGCGGCTATCGCCGATGTCATCACCCCAACCGCGACTGACCGCGCTGCTTTCCTCGAGGAGGCCGCTTCCGGCGCCTTCGACGGCTGCGTCGCCGCCTATCGCACATTTGACAGCTTCACCATCACGGGCAAGATCAATACTGAGCTCCTCGCGGCACTGCCCCCCTCATTGCGTTTTATCTGCCACAATGGCGCGGGCTACGACCAGATCGATGTGAAGGCCTGCACAGAACACAACGTACGTGTGTCAAATGCTCCGACCGCGGTGGATGATGCCACGGCGGACCTGGGCATTTTCTTGATGCTCGGTGCCCTCAGGAACTTGGGTCTGGGCATGGCGGCCTTGAGGGCGGGTGATTGGAGGGGTTCGACACTGCCGGCCTTGGGTCATGATCCGCAGGGCAAGGTGTTGGGCATCTTGGGTATGGGGGGCATCGGTCGCAACATGGCCAAAAAGGCGCTGGCGTTTGGTATGAAGATCCATTATCACAACCGTACCAGGCTAGATGCGGACGTGGAGGCCGAGCTTGGCGCAGAGTATGTCGAGTTCGACGAGCTCTTGAAGGACAGTGACGTGCTGAGCTTGAATCTGCCTCTCAATGTGAGTAGTCCATTCCTCCCTCGGGCGCTAGGAGTCTGCCCAACGACGAGGTAATAGAGGGAGAGAGAAAAAACCTGACTAGTGGCTACTAGAAACATACTCGACACATCATCTCCCAAGCCGAGTTCGCCAAGATGAAGCCCGGTATCGTGATTGTCAACACGGCCCGCGGCGCCGTCATGGATGAGGCCGCGCTAGTTGAGGCGCTTCAGTCTGGCCAGGTCGGCTCAGTTGGCCTTGACGTCTACGAGGAGGAACCGCAGGTTCACCCTGGTCTGGTTTCTAACCCGCAGGTGATTCTTGTCCCGCACATGGGCACCTGGACCCTCGAGACGGAGACCAAGATGGAGGAGTGGTATGTCATATTCTTTCCTTCCTAGGACAACGCTGGCCGTGCGTGAGATCTGGGTTTTGGCTGACGTCAACTACAGGACCATTAGCAACCTTCGCATGGCGATTGAGGAGGGCAAGCTGCGAAGCATTGTCCCCGAGCAGCGAGACCTGTGAAAGCGGGTCGATATTGAGATGGTCATCTTCATCAGGAACGGTAGACAGAAAGAGAAAATAGAAGGGGGAGATAGACAATAAAAGCCAAATGGACGGAACTTTCTCAATTGAAACCCACTTGCACAGACACGTTGCTCATTGCTCAGGGACTCTTCGGGACCATGTTTGATATCTTGGACCAAACACGGCACGGTCCGTTATCAACATATATAGATATAACAAGTAAAGGAATCTGGCCTTGGACATCAGGAAACAAATAAGCCACACGACTGGGAAAAAAAGCCTTCAAAATGCTAAATGCAGAAGCCCGACCTTTCTACCGGGATAGATGAGCAAATATTCCCACCGCCATCCCGAAATCGTTAAGAAAAATAGAAAATAAAATCGCCACGAAGCATACATATGTGTACATCAAGAGCCTATGCTCCCACATCCATAGCTTTAATCTCACCCTATTTACATTGGTGCCGGGCTGAACAAAAACATAGTACGCCGGATCCACAAAGCGACGGGCGGCCGGGGCGGTCTTATCCGCCGACGGTGACTAGTCTCGGATAATCCTCTCCGCAGCGAGTAGTTGACCCCCCCAAATGCGGCTAGATGCCCTGCTCAAAGTCAAGTGTCCAACTGAGCGGTGTATTTTCGTAGCAATGGAATGCTGTCGCAGAACCTCGCAGTTTTCGCAGCAGCCCAGACAACCCCTTATTGTGGTAATGTAGCGTCCCTTGTTGGCGATATGTACAGGTTTTGATACAGACGCTTCCATGATCGTCGAGATGGCACCGGCTTAGCTAGGACCAAACGAAGGATTCGGGCCGTTGCACTGGACGAGTGTTACTGGTGGCGACCGGTGGCAGAAAAGGATGGTTCGCAGTTCGTTTCGCCAACGAGAAGCGTTTTTGGAATTTGCGGATGGTAGCGGGCCTCTTAGGCACGTGTCTTCCGCGGGTATGAAACCGGTGTGCTGCGGCTGACAACCAAGTGGCAGGAAGGAGGAAGGCAGGCGATGCCCAGAGAAGATAGGTCTTGAGATGGTCGGGGGACCACATCAGCAGGGCCGGCACCCTTGGTTTGTGGATGTGGTGCTGGGCAAGGAAGCAAAAGAGAGAAGTTATGAGTTGCTTATCGCGAGTGATCGTCATGGAACCGGCGGTCGTCGTTTGCAGTTGGATCTAGTCCAGGGCGTGCGCTTCCTTGGGCGGTTTGATGACCTTGCCAACTATCCCGCAAGATGGAGGACGGCGTGTCGCTTGGAACGGCGAGTTCATCGACCTTTACTTTCGTTGCTGGAGAACTTGTATGAGCGAACGTGCGCTCCCGCGACAAGGGTTGGGGAGAGGCTAACAGGATGGAGGAGGGGAGAGTGCCGCCTCGCAAATTGCTTGCGTCGCCAATGCCATGACCCTGAGGCGGGCCCTGACCTGCGCTTACGGACGTGCCAGCTGGATGATACCGGGGCAACCGAGGGCCGGGAGCATTGGCGGCGTCGGGTGCCTGCAATGCCGGGTCGATGGCGGTCGAGTAGTCGTAGCTGGGTTCGGTTTTGATGGTCTGCGACGCACTGGCCACGGGCGATTCGGGCGCGATGGTCGACGGAACGGGAGGCGGTACATACGACGACACAGGGTAGGAGGGATGCGGTGGAGCAGAAGACGAGAGGGCGGGGTTGGACGCCGCAGTTGGCTGGTGTGCCGCGACGGACGAGGCGGACGGTGTGCTCGGAGCGGGCTGGATGGCTGCAGGGCCTTGCTGTTGCTTGAAGATGGGATCGTACCCGAGGCACTCGCGCTTTGACTTCTTGCAGTTGTTACAGGTCGGATGAGCTTCGTCGCACTGGGTGGCAGGGTCACGTTAGATCAGCTCCGCTCAGTTTCGCCAAAGCAAAGACAAAGAAGTGGATATATGCGGTTTGTTGGATGGCGGGATATTGGATATTGGACATTGGCCGTTGGCTGTTGGCCGTCTGATGTAGAGGAATGAATGGGCATGTTCCCTGTTGGGAGATCAAGCAGGATAGTTGATGAGGTGAGCGGGTGGATGCTGGAACGGCCCGCCCCGGCTGCTCGCCGTTCGCTTGGGACGCCGCAAAGACCAAAAAAAAAAGTCGGGACGGAAGCTTAGGTCATACGGCAGCGAAGCGACGGCAAGCGAGCGCCTTCCCAGGTTAACCGGACCAAACAAATGCAGGCGGGTTTGCCTTCCCAACCAAACCACATGTTTTTCATGTGGCCGTCGCTTGGGAGGACAAAACCAAACGGCAATTGAGAAAATGACGTGCGGGCTGCAAGATTCCGGCCGCGTGGGACGCGAACGGCGGGCAAAAAATGCGGAAGGGAAACTAAACAACCGACGACGTTCACGTACCTTGATCCTTCGTTTACGGCAGGTCAAACACCCGGTTTTTGTTCGTCGCTTGATCTCCTAAATTGCCCCACAATAATCGCCCATGGTCAGCAAAATCCGAACCGCGAGAAACCCACCTATTCCCCCCATTGCTATCGGGCGAAGGAGAAGTAGGAGCGAGATTTTCCTGCGAGATTTTGCCGCGAGATAAGACATACCTTTTTGTGCCTCCCGCCGCTCAACGAGATACGCGGGTCGTGAGCCATGCCTGGGGCGAGCGCAAAGCGCATCGCATTGGGGTCCGGCAGGCCGTACATGTGTGGAGCGTGTATGCCGTAGTAGCCCATGTGGTGCGCAGGGGTGGGTGGCGGCATTGTTGGGCCACCCATGTGCGGTCCTAGGGGAACCCCGTGCTGCGGTGGTGCCTGAGGTTGTCGGTGGTCGAGAGTGCGCATACTGGGCAGCGTGGTCGGACTCGATCGGTATGGGTCGGCGGGAATGTGCTGAGCCGAGTACATGTACTGCGAAACGGGGGGTATGCCGGGCGGCGGGTAGGGCTGCGGGCTTGCATATGCCACCGACTGTCGGCCGGGGCCCGGCCCTGGCTGTGAGCTAGACATCTCGGGGTGTCCCGGAGCTGGAGTCGGAGCTGGGGCTGGAGCTGAGGCTAAAGTTGGAGCCGGCGCGCCGTTGGTGTCGCCGTGTTGTGTATTGTTCCCTCGGCCGTCGTAGGGGGGACGTGCTCCTGATGACGCGTTGTCGTTGGTGCTCCCGTTGGCCGACACGACTCTATGCGCGTTCGTTACGTCGTCGCCGCCGCCGGGGCTTCGTCCACCGCTGGTGTTGTTGTCGTTCTTGGATAGCGCGTCAGCTGGGTGCAAAGCCCCTGGAGGGTGGTGGTACTGTGGGTGTTGCTCGTGTTGATGCTGGTACGAATACGGGGGGAGCTGGTATCGGGGCTGATGCTCGTGCTGGTGCAAATCCTGCCGTGCCGGCTGCTGGTTAAGAGGCTCTTGCCGTGAGTGTGGGTGCGAGTGCGGATGCAGATTCTCGTGGTGGTGGTTTGGGTGCGGCTTTTGCTCGAGGAGCGCGTCGAGATTTGGGTGCACACGCGGCTGAATAGGGGCCGAGTCGAGGGACGACGGTCGCCGGAGCAGACCAACTTCGGGGGATTGAGCCATGGTTGGGATTTTAATTAGATTTTTTTATGGAGCCACGATTCCATGACCCGGCTGAAAAAAATAAGGGCGACAAGGGGAGCAGACGCGACCCGGGGCCGATTTTCCTGTGGGTTGATCTGGGCTACTGCTGCTGCTGTTGCTGATGTTGGTGTGGCTGCTCCTCAAACTCATTCCTCACTCACCACCCAACAATGCACAAGTCCAAAAAAGGTACGCTGGGCCAGGAAATGCGATTGGCGAAAGCGCATGAGTGGGCGTGCTGACTCTTCCCGGTTACTCCCTCGGGCTCGCTGCCCACCACCCTACGGTACACTACTACCCCTGGACCCTCGGGGCTCGGCCTAAATCCACAGACCCCCACACCCCCCTTGTTTTTTCACACAAGGTTAAAAAGAGCAGCCCCTTGGTTGGCCAGAACTTGGGCTCTCCGATCCTTCCCCCAGGCGAATCTTCCTCCGCGCTGAGTTCTCTGTCTCTGTCTGATGAGAGTGAAGGCGACGAGGGACGAAAAAGAAGGTGCTGCAGCCGGTGAGAAGGGCCGGAGACGGGTACGACGCGTGGGCCGTTGAGAGCGTTGATTGATGGGACCGACCGATTTGTTACTACCTCCCTTTGGCAGGTAACTGAGCCCAATACCTTCCTGTCTGATGAAAGTGGATGTCTGCGCACAAATACCTAGACATGAGGTACCTGCTAGCGGGGCCGTCATCCTTCGAGGGCGCCCGTGACGCAGTCCCTCACGAACCTTTTCCAGGACCAACAGCCTGATTCGACCCCCCTGGCCAGGTTGACGGCCGCGGAAGATGAAGAAGTGGGCCTGGATCTTCGGAGGGGCGGCAGAGGGAGAGGATGGCAGGAAGAGGAAAAAGGCTGGCGGGCGGGCCGGGCTGGCCGCAAATCGCGACCTGGGCGGGATGCCAATGCCCGGCGTCGTTGGTTTATTGAGATACGGTCATACGGTTTGAATGTGGCTGTTTGTTCAGCAAGAGCACAATACACGAAGATGGCCAAGTGTCGTGGTGTGCCCGAACCATTCTCTGGTGGAGTGAGATCGAGCGTGGCTGCGTGGGTGTCCCTCGCAGGCTGACGAATTGGCACATCGATGACCAGGCGGCCCGAGACAGCTGGGCGCTGTCGGCTATCTGCTTTTGTGCCCTTCAATAACCCCTCGCTGGAGCCGACACGGGCACAAGCGAGCGAGAGGAAAAAAAGTGGAAGGAGGAGTGGGTCGCTAGACGGATCTTTGGAGATGCAAACCGAGACAAGGGGGTGGGCCCACCCACGGGGAAAAGCGAGTGGTCCGTGTCACCTCGCCTACCAATTTTGGTCCTGTTGTCTGTGTCTCCGATTTCGTCCGCGGCTCGGCAGGAAAGCAACGGGCGGAATATGAGCCCGTCCAATGGTGGTTTGTGACGGGAAAATAGCTGGCTGCACTGACTATTCGTATCAAGACAGTAAAATTCCGCTTGGGAAGGCCTGGATCCTGGAGGCGACACGACTTTCGTCGGCTCAAGAATTGTATGAAGGAGGACAGGTATACACAGTAGGGGTCGGTTCACACAAGCAGGGCCGAGATCCAAGAACCGCCTGATGCGAATCGGCCTTACAACCCTGATGTCCCACCGAGTCAGCGCTTTCCCCGTCGCCTGACGGGGCAGGGAAAATGGAAGAGAGTGTTGGATGCTTTCAATGCTTTCCGCGCCATACCATGTAGTTCTCAACCTCCGGTGTGTGCCGATCCGAGCAACCTTCGATGTTGGGCTGTACGGCTTCCAGGCCGCTAACCCGACTTGGTGGGGAACGCAACACCTTGATGTGCCGAGAATTTATCTCGCTCATACACAGTACATGTGTAGTGTAGGAGCACCCAGATAACGGTACCGTGGACCTACATAGTACGAGTGTACACGCGTATGTAGGTAACGTACCGTCTTGTCTTGTGCCCTTACCGGCCCGGACCGACATACACCATAAGGTTTTTTATAGTTTGGGCCCGTGGTCACGCTCTCAAGCCACAGATACTCAGGAGTACGCTCTCAGGCGTGTGACATGATGGACCGGCAACTCTCAAGCAGAGACCTCTTTTCTGGACACCTTGAATGGAACCCGAGCGGTCATGCAACGACAATCTCGTCTGATGGCGCACCTCTAGCTGACTTGGGCTGGAACGACGCGTTGGTTGGTTGTTACTGGAAAACCGGGGCACGAGACTCCGTCGTAGCAACATCTCGTCCAGCATCGAGCCTCCAGGCATAGTACACAGTTGAGGGTCCCATTCCCCATGCCAGCCTCGCTCGTCTCCGCTCCCCCGGATAACGTTCGTCACGAAGACTCGTCTCGGCCAGGCATAACTGTCGGCTAGGCCCCTCCCCCGCGTAGGTCCTCACGCTTTGGCGACCGTGACCTAAGAGGCTTAAACGAGCCTGCTTCAACCGCACATATAATTCCGTATAGCGAAACGAAATCGCTATGTAGGTTCTGTCCTTGTGGTATTCTCATCTTGATGAGGATCACATCAACCATCTGCCGTGAAGATCTGAGGGCAGTGGCCACTGGTTCACCAGCTCTGGTCACAAGCTGGTCAGACACCCCCGGAACAGCGTCCTCACCGGTCGGTGGGTGGGGCAGCGGGAAGCCGTTCTTCGACCGTTCGAAGAGATGTTCCCTACGATGTAAGATTTGACCTCCGGGACGGCAAGAATTGCCCGTCGGTCTTCTCCTGTTGCGACCAGTTGATCCCGGGTGAAACAGACCAACTACACTAGTTGCGTCACTCATTCCCAGCCAACGTCAAAAATCCCCGATATTATCTGCATGAACGGAAGCTCTTCGGCCTGACCTGCTTTCCTTTTCCTTCATCTCGTATGTATCCAAGTACCATACGTTCGATGTCTGGAATGGCACTACCACCGTGGATCAGGTTGACACCATTAGCAGGAAGGGAACCTGCCGTCAATCGGTTACCTTTGCGGTTGAGTAGAGTACCGTGTACTTCCGCCGTTCGGCTGTCGAGCACGGCCAGGGCGATCGAAACGGCTTTAATGAGGCGAGGTCGGCATTGGCCCAGCAGGCGCATTCGGCTCTGCGGGCGCCGCTTCGCTCGGTTGCGAAATGCATTCTTCTCTGGTGTGCCGCGTGTTCGGGCCTCGACACGACGGCAGATGTTACACAAATGCTCAAGCGGCTGTATGATAAGGTTAGGAATACCAATGTTTTCCATTTTTTCAGGACCCTCCCTCTGGGCTCTGCTGCCTTCTCCCTTGCCCTTTTCCATCCCGATGAGGCAAGGTACGTGTAGAAAATCGAGGGGAAGGGGAGCGGGAGGGGGGCGGTTCGTTGAGGCAAGGAGACGGCAAACCCCGTCGAGATCAGTAGGTGTGAGCCGAATGAAGATAGAGAAGGCCACAAATACGGATATCGCTTGTCCTTTCACACAGGCCTCACATCCAAAAAGGGCAGGAAGGGATGTGGGGGACAACGGGAAACATTGTCGGCCTTTTGGCTGATATCCATGTGGCAGTTTAGGCTCTAATCGCCGCCGGGGTCTCCAGCGTGCTCATTGATCGGCCGCCGTCAAGCATTGAAGCAGTTTTTCAACCGCTCTCGAGCACTGCCAAGGTGCCATCGACGTCCGATTTCAGTCTCGTGCATAGGCGATGGAAATCCGACTCGAGAACAACTGGCGCGGGAAGGGAAAAGGGGGTGCTCTGTTCAACCAACGATGCGACAGTCGTCCGCCATCTGGAACCGATCACCCTCCACGTTGATCACGACGCAAGCGGGCGGAGCCGTGGGGCTAGGGACGCTCGGGAGAACAAAGGCGTCATGTTCTGGAAACAATTGCGTCGTCCAATCCCAGGGCAGGGCGCGAGAGCAAGATGGGCGGGGCTGCGATTCAATCGGTCCGGTTTTACGGCCCGGGACTCCCCCCAACGCGAAGCGGAAAAAGCTGTGACGGTATTCCTTTCGCCGCGATGCGGCCGACGTCGTCACCCCTTGTTGCGCCCAGAGTAATGGTGAGTTTGCCTGGTGTTGACACAAGACGCTGGGCATGTTCGAGTCGTTCGTGCCGCTTAGCTTTCACCCTTGATGAAAAAGGCGAGCTCTCTGGTCACTCAACAGACGAATAATCGAAGCGGCAGGGTCAACAAAACCGGCGTTGCAGACGGCCATCTTCCGAATCTCCCCGTCGGGGGTGGACTGCCGCTTTGCCGTCAGCCCGTGGGCGCTCCCGGTCCCGGTGTCAAAGCTCGGCCGCTTGAGATGTAACGTTTGCTCGTGAATCTTTTCTCCCCATTATCTTCAATTGAAGGTTCCGTGACCCAAGGGTGCTTTGGACAATATTGTGTTGGCGTCGAGTGCCACTGCTGGTTTCTCGCCCAAGCAGAAGTAGATTGAAGAAATTCGTCGTCGAATCCTTCACCAGAAACCACCTCAGCTAGCGACGGTCTTCGCGTCGAGCCTTCGAGACCCACTCGTCGTCGACTGTGTAGCGAGTCGCGTGTTCTCAATGCCCTTTTCAGGCAACCACCCTGGATGCCAACTCGTAAATATTACTTAAATATCTTGCGGGCCTCAAGAAAGGCCCTCAAATGTGTGAGCTTGGGGTGGAGGCGAGAAGTCGGTATGAGTAAGGACCAGCTTGTGTGCATGGTGTCGGAGTGTTGAGAGCTGTTCTTACGAAGAACTGATGGAACCTCGAGCTTAGGCCAATCAGGTCGCGATCTGAAGCTTCTCGGACCAGCGAGTGGGCCGTGGCTCGAAGCGCAATGACGCCACAGGTCGTCCTCCCCTTCTACGATAGTCGATACGTACAGCCCAGTACACAATAACCACCTTATCTATCCATCGAAGGCCGGCATACTTAGTATTCGAGAAACTCGCGTACGGGACAAGGCACCGCATTCACCTGAGTAATATTCATCTTGTCATCCGACACGGTGGCGGGTCTGTTGTGGACAAACCCGGTGACGCAGTCGGGGGACGCCGCAAAACCAACACGAGCCCCGAGGCCCCCGAGCTCCGGCGTAATGACCCAGTCTCCCTCTTTACCACAGTTAACCCCCCAGCTTTGCTTCTCAACTTCCGCGCTACGAGGTAGGTTAGAGCAACTTTCGAAGAGGTGGTGGGGGAGACGTTGTGCGCAGGCTCTGACAACAATTGTGGCTAACCTAACGACAGATTTCCTCCGCTTATCTCGAAGCTCTATCGACGACACAATAAACCAAAATTTAAATGCGCTAGAGACGCCTGCCAAGGCGGGGTTTGATCCAACATCAACCTCCCGGCTTTCCGCACGACCTTTTTCGCATCAAATCGAAGCGACGGCGTGTAATTCATTCAAAGATAATGTACTTTTCCCATCGTGGCAGCTTAGGTCCGATATCTTGAGCTATTGCTCCCTGGTAGCCACGAGCCCGGACCCGGACGATCCGGAAAGATCACTACGGGAGGCGGAGAACGAAAGGAATCGTGAACGGGTCGTTGACGAGCGACTCGATCCGTATTCGGGACGCTTCACCCCACGAGAAGCCCGAACGGAGCAACTGGCCCTTGTTCTTCGACAGGAGATGGGGGTAGAAAATATCGTCCGGTCAAGGACTTGGGATACGGTGCGGCGAAGATGCGGCGACTCGACGCACGTGGCCTGGGAACAGGCGCTAGCGGGCTGGCGGAGGTCGAGGGAACATGAGGCACATGGGAGAAACACCTGAGATTTGCCTCGATGAGGTGATCTTAACTTTGACCCGGTAAAGTTGGAGTTGCTGCGTCCTTGTAAACACCGCTCAAAAAGCTCATGGTTAGGCGTGTGGGTGTGTCCATATATGTACATGTACCTATGTATGTAAGATTTGTAGTTTTTGGTGGTAATAGCCCTGTCTTCGGGCAAAAGACCCCTTACTTGATTGTGGCCGTGATTTGTTCCGTTCCTGAATATGCCAAGCCCACGCAAGCATCCCACTACATAGATAGGTAGTAGGTAGTATGTGATTATGTACATGACACAGAGCCGCTGTGTCGCGGAGGGAGGGGCCCGAGGCCGGCATTGTGGTGGGGCTGGCCCTGTCTTTTGCCAAGCTCGAAATCCAATCCCAATCCCGCCCGCCAAACTGCGAAGTTGCAACATCACCATCAACCAACTACGCCCGCCGCGTGCAAGTTTCAGACGTTGCGTGGCCCTGCCGACAAGAACAAAGCAATCGGATATCAGAGTACGTGAACACTAAATCGACACAACACACTTTTTACTTGCGCACACACAGCCTGTTTGCCCTTCGTCGCTCGAGTTGGGTTTCCGTCAGATAACTAAGACTCTGCATGCAGGTGGCATTTAGTTCCGTTTAAAGACGTGCTACCTGCCGACTACTAGCATCCCTCGCCGGTGCTGGCCGACGAATAATCACTCCGACTTAGTCGCACCGTCGGGCCCAACCTTGCGCCTTGGTCGTATCGACCAGAAGCTCACCCTTCTCCAGACACGCAACCCCGCAATCCGACCTCGATGCCTCAAACGCTAAGTACGAGAGAGGCTAACCTCTTTCGTACCGTCATCCGCTACTATGAGGACAAGCAATACAAACGCGGCCTCAAGGCTGCTGAGCAGATTCTCAAGAAGAATCCTAAGCACGGGGACACAATGTCGATGAAGGCCTTGATTCTTAACGCCCAGGGCAAGACCGAGGAGGCTTTCGCTCTCGCCAAAGACGCATTGACGATTGATATGAAGTCGTACATCTGCTGGCATGTATACGGCATCCTCTACCGCACGAACAAGAACTTCGACGAGGCCATCAAGGCCTACAAGTTCGCCTTGAAGCTTGAGCCTGAGTCGCACCAGATCCAGCGTGATCTGGCCGTCCTCCAGGTGCAAATGCGCGACTATGCTGGATACCTCCAGAGCAGATTCGTCATGCTCAAGGCGCGGCCGCAGCTGCGCCAGAACTGGACCGCTCTAGCCATCGCTTACCACCTCGATGGCAACCTTGATCAGGCAGAGAACATTCTCAGTACCTACGAAAAGTCAGTCACGACTCCCCCGCCAAAATCTGACTTCGAAAACTCCGAGGCACTCCTTTACAAGAACACCATCATTGCTGAGAGGGGCCATTTTGAGCGGGCCCTGGATCACCTGGAGAAGGAGTGCAAAAACTGCCTTGACCGGTTGGCTGTGATGGAACTTCGGGCCATTTATTTGTCACGGTTGGGCAGGAAGGCGGATGCTGCGAAGGCGTACCGCGCGCTGTTGGATCGGAACTCAGAGCACCCTGACTACTACCGGGGACTGATTGCCGCACTGGACATTCCATCAACCGACGAGGCGGCTCTGAAGGCCGTGTATGATGAATACGCGGCCAAGAACCCCCGTTGCGATGCGGCCAAGCGTCTTCCCCTAGACTTTTTGTCCGGTAAGCGCCACCGTAATGGACTTGTGACATGAATATCATTTTAACTGGACTCTATTCATAGGCGACTCCTTCCGCACCACCGCCAAGGCGTATTTGACGCTGATGTTCAACAAAGGTGTCCCCTCAACTTTTGCGAACCTTAAGCATCTGTACTCAAACGAGTTCAAAAAGGAGACACTACCGGCTCTTGCTGAGGAGTACCTGAAGGAACACAGCGGGGATGAACAAGTTAACGGGGATAGTTCCAAGGGGCAAGGGGCGGCTCTTTATTTCCTCGGCCAACACTACAACTACTATTTGTCTCGAGACCTCGACAAGGCTGCCGAGTTTGTCGACGAGGCGATCAAACTGGACCCTAAGAACGTCGACTTTCATATGACCAAGGCCAGAATTTTCAAGCACCGGGGTGACATTGCGAAGGCGTCGGAGGCGATGGACCATGCGCGATCGCTTGACACAAGAGACCGTTACATCAACTCTAAGGCCGCCAAGTACCAGCTCCGCAACAACGATAACGAGAAGGCACTAGAGACCATGGGGCTTTTCACCCGAGCCGAGACGGTCGGCGGTCCTTTGGCCGATCTGACCGACATGCAGTGCATCTGGTTTTTGACGGAGGATGGCGAGGCATGGCAACGGCGTGGGGACATCGGTTTAGCGCTCAAGCGCTACCACACCATCTTCAATATTTTTGACATTTGGCAGGAGGATCAGTTTGATTTCCACAGCTTCTCACTGCGTAAGGGGCAAATCCGGGCGTACATTGATCTTGTCCGCTGGGAGGATCAGTTGCGAGACCACCCGTTCTACTTCCGCGCCGCCCTGGATGCCGTCAACCTCTACCTGTCGATGCACGACAAGCCCCAACACGGCGCAAACGGCGTTAGCGATACCAACGGGGAGGATACCGCGGAAAAGAAGAAGGCAGCCAAGAAGGCCCGCAAGGAGGCCCAAAAAGCCGAGCGAGAGGCGGCCGAGAAGGCAGCGAAGCAAGACCCCAACAAGGGCGGCGCCCAGAAAAGCAAGGACAGTGAGGAGGCCAAGAAGAAAGATGACGACCCGAATGGTGTGAAGCTTGCGGCCACGACGGACCCTCTCAGCGATTCGATGAAATTCTTGGGGCACCTACTCCAATTTAGTCCGAAGAACATTGAAGGCCAGCTCGCTGGGTTCGAGGTCTATATTCGCAGGGGTACGCCATGATGAACAATTATTTCTGGGCCTTTTTGACTTTGCTCAACCGATGCTAACTATCACTTTTAGGAAAGCACTTTCTCGCGCTGCGCTGTCTTAAGGCGGCCATCGCTCTGGACGAAAGCCACCCCCGTATCGCCGAGCAGGCCGCCCGGCTTCGTACGGCCCTCGAGAATGCCCTTGGTTCTCTACCGACCAAGGCGAAGGATGTGATTGAGGCAGAGCTGGCGTCCTTGCCCGGGGCTTAGAAATCCCACGGTCAATGTGCAGACCAGCCCACCTCAGACAGCCCCTGGGAGGTGGAACAATGGTTAGGTCTCGTCATGGGTTCACCAACATTGGAGGGTCATGGAAGATAAAAAGTGAAGGAAATTTTTTAACCGCGTTTGTGGATGTAGCTGAGGGTAAAATGGCGATGATTGTATACAGTACATCTTCATCTAGAGAGACAGCATGCATGGGAGTGACTTCTTCGACCAGAAAGGGAGTACTGTTCTGAGCCGACCCAAAAGAGGAAACGGGCAATCCATTTACAGGGTGAAGCTGAGGGGTGTCGAGATATTGAGCGGGCATTTCTGCTTCTAATGCGTCACTAGACAATCACGTGGATGGAATGGGATGGTAGTTGGATATGGCAATTTGTTCGAATTGGTGGGACATTCTGATCCACGTCCCCATGCCCCAAAGTATTGGAAAATATGGAAGCGGCGGCGGGAATGCGACGAGATGAACCATCTAGCTAAATACCTGTGGTGTTTAAGCGTTGATACACATAACGGTTCAGCCACACCATTTCGGTCCCAATGAACCTCCCAACCACCTTCTATCGACAAACCGGATTGATCCCCCAGCCAACAATACCGTCCTAGCGGGGGACCCCCCTAACGCCTCTAGTGATGCAAGATGGAAACACTGAGGAGAGAGGATAGAGCAGAGCGAAGGGAAAGAAGGAGACAACACAGGACGAAGAAAGGGAAAAGGGAAAGCGCTCTACTGAGCTTCCCTGACCACCTTGTCAAAAGCCGCGGCAACATATTCCACGTTCCTTGAGTTCAGCCCCGCCATGCTGATGCGCCCGTTCTTGGTCATGTAGATGTGGTAGTCAGTGCGCAGCTTGAGGACTTGGGGCTCACTCAACCCAGTAAAGCTGAACATGCCGATTTGGTCCGTGATGTGGTTCCAGCCACCCGGAGTCTGGAGCTCTTCCAGCTTAGCGCGGAGCTTCTTGCGCATATCGATGATGCGGCCCGACATCGTGCGTAAGTTCTCCTGCCACTCAGCAAACAGGGCATCATCGTTGAGCACGATGGAGGCGATGCGGGCGCCGTAGATGGGCGGGTTGCTGATCTCCGAGCGCTGGAGAATGGATAGCTGCGAGGAAACGCGCGTGGCGATATTAGCGCCCTCGGCCGCGCCGGCACCGCTAGGAGCCACATAGTGGAAACAGCCGGCACGCTGGCCATACAGGCCAAAGTTCTTCGCAAAGGATTGGGCGATGACTAGCTCGAAGCCTTCCTCGGCAAAGTGACGAATGGCGCCAGCGTCGCGGTCCAGGTCACCCGAAGCGAAACCCTGGTAAGCAGTGTCGAAGAAGGGAAAGTGCTTCTTAGCCTTCATGACGGAGGCAATCTCACGCCATTGCTCCGGGGTGGGGTCGACACCGGTCGGGTTGTGGGCGCAGGCGTGTAGGACAATGATGCTGCCCTCGTCGGCCTTCTCAAGCGTGGCCTTCAGGCCATCGACGTCTAGCCCCCGGGTCTCCTTGCTGAAGTATGGGTAGGTGGCGATGGGGAGGCCGACATTAGAAAAAATCTGGTGATGATTCGCCCAGGTCGGGTTGCTGAGGTATACTGTGCGGCTGCCCTTGTAAAATTTGGCTAGGAAGAGGGCGCCTAGGTGGACAGCGCCGGTGCCGGAGATGCTCTGGACCGAGACGGTGCGCTTCTCAGCGATGGCGGGGGCAGACTTGCCCAGCAGGAGCTCAGCAGCGCGGCTGGTGAAGGCCTGCAGACCGGCAATTGGAAGGTATTCGTGGTTCGCTTCTGGGTCGTTTCGTAATATCTCGTCGGCCTAAACACAAAATTGCATTTTGTTAGTTGTGATGCTTTCTTGGGAGAACTCCTGCCGAGCACTCGGCGTGGCGTGGTGGGCTGCTTCTGATTCTGCCTTTGCCCATCTAGTGTGGGGTAGGGGTAGAAAGTTTAGGAGATCAATTGATTTGGTGTTGGATGGCGGGGCGGCTAAATGCGTGCATGGAGGGGCTGCTTGAGAAAGTGAAAGAGCTCTCGTTGTGGTTGGAGGGGCCAGCTGCAACCGCACTAAATATGCCAATGGTTTTTTTTCTGTTGTTGGGGAAGGTGCAAGAAAAGATTTGAGGAAATGGAAATAAGGTGAATGTCGAAATGCGCACCTTCTTCACGACCGGAAGAACCCAGGGCTTTGCATTGTCGTCGCGATAGGCACCGATTCCCTGGGGAGAGGTGTTAACTTTGGACTTGGGACTTATCAAACGACTGGGAACCTACCAGATCAACCTTGTCAGGGCTGGTATCGGCCTTGTAGGCGCGCGACAGGCCAAAAAGGGGATCTTCCGGGGCCTGTGGGACCGCGTCGGCCGGAAAGCTCGTTATTGATGTCGACGCCATGTGATTTGCAATGTTTTGTAGTCGGGAGAGGGGAGAGGAGGAGTGTGACGAAGTCGAGGATGACGGAGTGGAAGATGTGGTGCGGTTTGGTTGTTTGGCCACCATTTTGTATGACTGACTGGCTGACTGGATTTTGGGGGATTCCGTTCTGGGCCTTTCCTGGGCCTCTTACTTAACAAGGTGCCGCTGCGCCGGGCTGCTGCTGCCTTCTTCCGGTCTCTTTGGAGCTCCCTTTTTTCCCTAGACCTTACCCCCTGCACTGCGACACTAAAGGGTACCGAAGTACCGCAAACTCGCGTACAACCGCTCCAGTGGCATAAACCGATTGCTTAATCGGTCGGACAACGGCCGACAGCGGACAGGAGAATTAGACGCCTGTTACCTATGGCCCCGTTTTTCGTCACTTGCTCTTGTCCCTTCCTTCCGCAGGTACCGAACTTGTCTCGGCGCTCTCTCGGGGTTTTCGTATCGTTCAAGCTCTCTACTCCGAATTCGACTTGGCATACGGTGACGACTGGCACATTCGGAATTGTCAGCAAAGGGAAACTCGTCTGATGAGGTGTGTTGGGTGTGATATCAATCACTCGGCCCGAACGCTGGAGCGTTATCGATGCTGCAAGGTCGCGGCAGAGCCAGCAAATAAGGGCCCAGGCAAGGCAGAGTGGGAACGTACGATGCTTCTTGATGGATGGTTTGGATGCGTGGTCTATGGCAAGATGATCCGGGGGTGGCTGTGGCGCTCCGGCTTGTTTGTACTCAATGGCTCTCCGGCTATGAGGTCAACCACCAACCGTCAAGGTGCATGTGAAGCCGGACAACACCGAATTACGCCGAGGCAAACCCATGCTGGAATCTTGCCACATTTCTTCCTCCCCCGTCTCGTATGTTCTGGGGTAATTGTGCGATCGGATCCGGCGGCGCGAATGATGGTCATGTGTCTTCTGCCTAACTTCCTTAACTAGCCTGGGGGACCCGGGAGCACCTGGGTCAAAAGGTGTTCCACCCGGTGTCGCTCGGAGCAGCATTACGTGATGGGTAGTAAACTGGGGACCTTGGCGGGACGGGCGGAAACTTCGGGGCGAGCGCGCCAAGCCCAGATTCCATCCAGGCGAGTTCGACTTGCAGTCACAAAAGGCTTCAATGATCTATCAGGTGCTTGCTCCACAAGGCCGCCTCCGAGCCTGGGGAAGAACGGGAGAGCGCGAGAGTGCATATGGGTCGGTTGGGACTATTTATTGAAATTTACCTGACAAGGAAGGAGACCAATTTTTTCGTGTACAGAGTAGGCAGGTTGATACGAGCAGTTGTTGATTTTGTTCGTCTGCAAAGAATGGTGCCGGGAAAGAGACCACTGACTCCCAAACAAGAACTCCCTGCGGCATTTCTTTCCGGTGCCGCCGCTACCCGTCAGCTGATATTGGGGCGGAGGCCGTAACGGCCGATTCCAACGAAGCAAAGGAGTGAATTAAAGTGGCGCCCACCCTCCTTCTCCTGGACAAAAAGGGAAGCAGACTGATGTGAGATCGGGGAAGACGTCGCCGCGTCGATCGCCGTGTGTGTAAATGTTTGAAGTTGGAAACTGGGAACTCTCCAGAGCCAATCCCCATACGGGAACGCCCCTGCAGATGCCCCACATGTGCAGGGGTGCTTTCTGCCGGGCGGACAAGATTTGGCGATTCTTCAACTCTAAGCTGCGTAGCACCCATCGACAACTTGGTCTAGCAATCCCTCCCGACATTAAGGATTCAATTATCGCGATACCAGACAGTGTTCGATATTGGGTTCGAATTTTAGACGTCGCAAACATGGCGTCTCAAGAACGGAGCATGCCGTTCATCAAGAACCTCGCGTCCAGTGGTCCGTTCTGCCCCTCAATTCTCCGACCGGCCTGGCGTATCAACTAGGTTGAATCAAAAGAATAAACACTAACACGGAAAACTCTCCTGGTTATAGATCGCAAAATACGTACCTCCGCACTCGCTTCCTTACACGCCTTCCTCTCCGCGCGTCAGGTGGCATCTGCCCTGACCCCCCTCGATACCCTCAAGTTATGGAAAGGCCTCTTCTTTGCGCTTTGGATGTGCGACCGCGCCATCCCGCAGCAAAATCTATGCAACGAGCTGGCCGATCTTATATTTGTGTTGCCGCACGATGCTGTCTCGACGTGGCTACGTGGGTTCTGGGCTACCATGGCCCGCGAGTGGACAAGTATCGATGTGCTTCGCATGGAGAAGTTTTTGTTGTTAGTGAGGCGGGTCGTTGGGGCTGGGTTCAAATGGATGCGGAAGGGGCAGGGAAATTCGAATGAAGGAAGTAAAAAGAAAGGGAAAGGAAAGAGCTTGGGCGAATCGGCGTGGGATGCTAGCAAAGTTGATAAGCTGGTTGGGCTGCTCGGCGAGTGGCCGCTTGCACTGGAAGATGAGGCGCAAATAACGCCTCCTGGTGCAGAAGGCGCGGAAAGCGGGGAAACTGGCAAAGAAGATGCCGCGGCTGACGTGAAGGACAGCCAAATAAGACAGAAAATACCCGCAGGTCTGCGGTTACATGTCCTGGACGTGTGGGTCGATGAGGCGGAGAAGGCGGGTTTGTTGGACGAGGAGGATGAGGAAGCGAAGCAGATCGTACAGAGGATCTCGGATCAAATTGATGCCCTCGAGGAGGCGACAACAAGCCCGGCCGTGCAGATGAGGTCAAAGGAATCTCTAGCAGATGACAGGCTTCCTGGGAACGCTAAACCGGTAGCCGAAGCGGAGCAAGGAAATAACGATGGACGGGGAGGACAAGACGATGACGGGGACTGGGACGGGTTTGATGACTAGATACATGGCATAGGGGAAGAAAGGCGTTAGGCAATTCAAAAAAAACAATGCTGTCTCAGGACTCGAGAGCCCGGCGTTACCCTTTCTTGTTCTATGGGACCTGATTAACCGGCCGGGGCATCAAACAAAAGCGGCGAGTTGTTTGTCAATAATATATCAACCAAATGATTCTCATACATTAGCGGAGCAAGGTTAGGTGTATCCGAAACGCCCGGTTAAGCAGCAAGCAAGCGACCGATATACGGTGCTCTTGGCTAGCCTGTGCTTTGATAAATTCATGCACGCCTGCCTGCCTAGTCAGAAGGCCATCCCACCCGATTGAAACAGACTACGAGTCACAACCGCTAATCCAAGGCCGCGGTATGAACAGTACCTAGGTATATCCTACAGTGAAGATCCAAAGAGGGGGTATGAATAGCATGATGCGAATACTCCGAAGTCAAACTCTACACTCTCTTCTTATTCCAGGGGGCCTGGTGCCTCAAAGACGCCGTTTTTTGATAGCGTCAGCCCCAACCCGGGGTGGATCTCAGCCTGGAATGGCCCAAAGTCGATAGCCTCGCCATCGATACTGATATAGCCAGTCTCCTGGTTACGTGGGATGATGCGATAGGCCGAGACCTTCCGATAGGCCACGAGCGGGCTGTCGAAGAATTGGCCTGACTCGACGCTTAGCTGAAGGCCGATAGATTTAAAAGGTGAGATGTCGCCGTCGATGGTGATGAGGTCCATGAGCCCATCGTTGGCGAGGGCAGCCGGGAAGAAGTTGGCGTCGGGCGCCATGTAGGCCATCTAACACGAAGGGTCAGCAGGTCTGAGAGGAGTATGGGATAAAGCGGAACATGGCGGGGAGGAAACTCACAATACCGCAATAAAACATTCCCAACTTCTCATAGGGAATGAGCTCCCATCCCTCTGGTAGCTTATCCATCGACGTCCCGTACTTTAATGGCGGAAGGCCTGGCCCATCCGTTCGTGTGTCGGCGGCGTTCTTGTCCTGTTGCGATTCTCCGGGCCCTGCCTCTGGGGTCTTGTGGTCCCTATTCGCAATGTGCTGCCGGTAGTGCTTCTTGACATCCTCCTTGTTCTCAATCTCAACCTTGACGGCAATATCACAGGGGTACGTTTTTCTCTGCAGCGCTAGCATGAGCCCGCCACACGTGAAGCGAGCCGCACCCATCCATCGCAGATGTTCGGTACCCAGGTCGACTTCAGCAACCATACCCACCGCTTGGCTCAGGAAACTAAGTGTGCGCTGTCCATCGCCGTGCGTAATACTAGCCAGATCAAGCGGCGTTGGCACGCCCTTGACAATCGCCAGCGCCGCGAGCGTCGGCCGGTGGGAGCCGTACAGGTTGCAGCTCATGGCGTTTCCGGAGCCGCAAGGAATGTGGCAGACGGCGATCTTGGCCAGCGCGCGGCGGGCATCAGGCCGCTTGGCGAGCCCATTGAACACCTCGTGCGGCAGCCCGTCGCCGGAGCAGGGGATCGCGATGTCGAAGTCATCAATGTCGAGATCGCGCGCTAGGTCCACGGCCTGGCCTGAGTAGGCCGTCCGTACAACCGTCAGGGGCATGCGCGCAGCCTCGAAGAACGGCCGCACCTCGTTCTCCCACGTCTTCTCGGCACCTCCCGGGCCGGCATGTGGGTTCACAAGCACCCATGCACGTTTTCGCCGGACCGAGTGAGCATAGGCGAGATCCAGAAGCCGGTCAATCCAGGGCGCCACTTGATCACCGACCCCAGCGGATGTCTGCTCGCTGACAAGCTGGGGGGTGGCGAACTTGGCGTTCCGGACTTTGGCGTCGTTGGGGTTACTAAGGTCCGCATAGTCGATCAGCAGCCACCGGTGGTCACTGGTGGCTTCGGCCCAGAGAATGTTGTAGTACGGTATACTAGCGGGCGTACCATCAGACCCTTTGATAAGTGTTAGTAAAGCATCCGCTACTCGTTATGTGCGCTCGTACGTTCTCACTCACCAGGGAGCCCGACACATGGTATACATGACCGACTGGGTTTTGTAGCGAGTTGACCTGAAATAGGAGTCAGTTGAACTTGCTAATGAAAGACAATTTAGAGACCGCCGGACGCGAACTGGCTGTTTTGTCCAGTGCAGTGCAATATACCCGGGAACATACCGGACAGGAGCAACGCATCTTGCCCGAGAGTGAGAGTCACACCCGGTGAGAGAACAAGCACCCGTTCTCCCGCACCATCCCCAGCTTCACCACTTGCCCTTCCACTCCCACTCCCGTTGTCCGTGGAGTGAAATTGGTCAGTCCCTACCGAACCCTTGGCGACGCCCGGGTCCATTGGTGGCCGTTATCGCGGTGACTGGTTCTTGTTGTCGTTGGGCTCTGAATATGTTTTTTGTTTATTTTATTTTCGAATTGACCTTCCCCCGTTCTCCTTTTTTGACTTATTTTCTTTCCCTTTCTGTTGGGACGATTAACGCGTGCGATGCATACGCGGCAGCTGCATGTGATGGTAGAAAATTACGGTGTAACCCCGTGTCAGGGGGAAACGGATAGATGTTCTCAACTCCACGGCATGGGGTCAGGTGAATGGGAAAGGGAACAGCTTCGAGAGCCTGGCATCGAGTTCACGGAAACGAAAATGTATGTATAATCTCGTTGTCAGCTTGCGGCGCAGGTTGTGGAGCAGATGCACCGGCTGCCCGCGGGTTCAGAAAGGTACATAGGTTACCAGTGCTCCTTGCTGTGTTAAGTTAGCAGTCGAGGGAGTTGATCCGAAAGGATCTTGAACGGAGCCCGGGCCTTGTTAGGCGCGTCCCCCGTTGGCTAGCTCGGCAGGCTCTCGCATTGAATAGTTTGGGCGAGCGGCACTGTGCGAGATTGGATGGGGCTGCGCGCCGGCTCGCTTTGCCTATCAGGCCTCGAGCCAGCTTTGGTGGGGCCCTGCGGCCTCGGCTCAAAGTGTGTCTTGTCAGGTACCAGGGGTACCTGCTGAACCGAGGTGGGGCCGAGACACGCGTACGGTATTGTAACGCGCAGAGACCATATGCATTTATCGAGGTCGTGTTCATCAAGAACCTGAGCACGGATCTCTAAAACCTGAAAGTCTATTTCGTTCAAACTTCCGGGCACGCAAACTCAGACGGAGTACGGATTCGCATGTACTCAATAGACGTGCTATTATGAATGATGACGGCAGGCTGATTGAAAAAAGGTCGATCAGATAAGATTTGGGAAGGTTGTATCACCATGCAACAACCTCGGCCATTGGGCCACACAGGATTCACGAAGCAAAGCACGGGTAATCACTGAATCAGGGAGGCAACTGGCTCGAAATTGAAACGCTAAATGACCAAGTCCCATAAGATAAGTGCAGTACATAGCCCTGCCGCGGCGAAAAAGGTGTAACGGGCCTGGCTGGGCCGGCCCACGCTCTTATTCAACTCCTTGTTCCCCTTCCCGATGCCTTCTGTGGTTTCGAACGAGTCGGCCACCAATTGATCGATGTGAGCCGACTGTGTCGTGAGATTGTTGACAAGCATGTTTTGTAGCTCGGCGATTTCAAGAAGGGACGACTCGGCGGTTCTAGGGAGGTGTTAGTGGCGTTAGTACTTGAAAGTGAGAGGAAAGACGACATGGGCTACGGACCTGACTTTGTCCAGGGTGCTCTCCAGATGCTTAAGCATATCCTGGTTCCCCTTCTCAAACAACTGCCTCTGGTCGTCCGTAATATCCATCTCCGGCATCTTCCCAGCTTCCTCTTCCCGTATTGATAAGTCAGACCCAGCAGAGGCAATGCCGACTGGCCGTTGCCCCCCGCCATGAGCCGTCGTAAAATTGTGAGCGCCGAGGGGTGTCGTAGAGCTTCTTGCTTTCGCCAGCACGCTCCTGTTCTTCTCCATCTCCCTGGTCAAGCGCGCCTCCATCATGTGCTGCTGTGTCCGTGCTGTTTCTTGGAGCCGCGTGCGGAGGAACCATACCACGCTTTCTCGGTGTGCCCCGAGCTGCCGGGCGGCCGCCTCAAGGAGGGCCTTCTCGTCGCGAGCATCATCTCGAGTTGCCCAAGCCCCCAACACCCCAAGGCCACGCGACAGGCGCTTGCGAAGTAACGCGGTCTCAGTGTTTTGCCGTAGCTGCTCGGCATCCTCGAGGGCACGGATACGGGCATTGAGATCGCGGAGCGTCATCTTGGCATTGGCGTCGATTTCTTCGCGGTCTCGGTCGGTGAGTGCGACATGTTGAGGAGGCGCGCTGCGGGATGATGCGGCCGTTCGCAGGTGTGTCTTGCGCGGGGGGGCGGTCGAGAGGTAGGCCTGGCGCAGGTTGCGCAGCTCGGCGTGCAGACGCGCAATGAGCGAGTTCTGTCCGATGGACAGTCAGCCAGAAAGAACAAAAACCAAAATCCAGCGACAAGGAACGCCGTGATGGGGCCATACAATCCGGTACGCCTCCTTCAAGAATTCGTCCGCCGTGTCGACACTGAAGGGCTTAGTCGGGGGCACTTCATGGCCCTGGAGAAAGGCGTCGAACGCCGTTGTTAGGTTGGCCATTTCAAAACCATCATCAAGTGCCTGCCCGCCCGTCTGCCGGAAAGAAAGAACGGTGTGCTGTTATGGGAGGAGTCCCACTTGGGTTGATGTTGGCAATAAACTGTCCAGATCATCATTGTGGCTGGTGTTAGTGAGTTGGGATGAGACTGGTGGCTTGCTAAATGTGGCGGTGGCTCGTAGCGGACACAAGGAAGACAAACACGCACCCAGGGTTAGGGTAACGTTATCGTAGGCTTCGTATGGGCAGGGTCCCCCATCTTTTAACCTGCAGCTCGAACGGGACTTTTCTTTCCCGTCAATATTCATCGGAAAATGCACTTTGGTGAGTCCTGAAGAGGCGGACGACAACTAATCACGATTATGATAGTAACTCGGGTGACCGTACTAACAAATTTAATCTCTCTTTTTTTCTCGACCGGATGTGTTTCTTCCTAGCATCTTATCTTCTCTTTTTCCCTTTTATTTTCTGGCGTGCCGTAAGGCTCAATGACGCCACCTCAACCCTCGCTCGATGGCTCGGGTCGTTGAACGGCGACGTTTAGCACGAGAGGCCGAAACTGCACGTTTGTTACGCGCCGTGAGCCGATACCGCAAGTGCCGTTGTGCCGGCCATGCCCATTGCCAATTGTCCCACTCCCACCCATGCCTTGCCTCATGTCCTGGTGACCCTCAAGTACCATCGGCCTTCCAGGTTCTCATCCGGTCCCGCTTATTCTCCACGCCGTTTCGCGGTTTGCTCGGGAATAAGAGAACTTCACGATCTCGAAATGCCACCCCCGGCGCAACACATGACAAGGCGTGCATTCTCTGATGTTGGCTCCGGCGTTATTCTACAACTGTGTTGGAGGTGGTTATCTAGACGAGTAACCGCTTCCGTTGTCTGAAGACCCTCCCTTAAGCCCTCCCTCGTTCCCACGCCCCCCAGACCAATAGCACCACGGGTAGATCTTGAGACCTCAGTGATAAGCGAAAGCTTGAATAGGTTGCTAGGCTGAGTGGAAAAAACCCATCGACGGCTCATGATGAGCTCTCCAACAGAAGAGATAGCTCAAAAAGCGGAAGATGATATATCGGCTGAACCTGAGAAACACTCTGCTGTATCCTCAGCCGTTGACGATGGCCCATCTACGGCGCCCCCTGGGTCTATACGACCCGGACCACCAGCTAGCGAGGCGGCTGCTGACCCGGAATCGCTTCAACGGACATCCAGCGGTCCAGCCTATAGCACCTTTCCCAAGGCCACAAAGCGATGGGTTATTGGCATGGCCGCCTTCGCCAGCTTCGTCTCGCCCATGACCGCCAACATCTACTTCCCCGCCCTCACACCCATCGCCCACGACCTCGGTGTGACCGTCAACCTCATCAACCTGACCCTGACAACCTACATGATCTTCCAAGCCATAGCCCCGACCATCGTGGGTGACTTTGGGGACATGGCCGGCAGACGGCCTGCCTTTATCTTGTCCTTTTTGGTCTACATCTTCGCCAATCTCGGCCTGGCCCTGCAGAAGAACTACGCGGCGTTGCTCGTCCTGCGGATGCTCCAGAGCGCGGGCAGCAGTGGGACACTGTCGCTGAGCTATGCCGTGGTGGCCGATGTCGCCGTGAGTGCCGAACGGGGCAAATACATGGGCATCGTTGGGGCGGGTATCAATGTTGGGCCAGCTCTGAGCCCAGTACTCGGCGGTATCTTGGGCCAGTATCTCGGCTGGAGGGCCATCTTCTGGTTCTGTCTGATCTATACGGCCGTGTGGCTCATCCCCTACAGTCTGGCCGTTCCGGAGACGTGTCGGAAAGTGGTGGGCAACGGATCGATCCCCGCGCGCGGCTGGAACATGACTTTCGTCGACCTGCTCCTGTATCGCCGACGCCGAGCACAGCGGGCCAACACCTGTTCAGATCCCGCCACCACCACACCACCCAAACGTCAACTGCGCTTCCCCAACCCCATCCACACCCTCAAGGTCGTCTTTGAGAAGCAGCTCGCCCTCCTCCTTTTCTACAACACCATGATCTACCTCGTCTTCATCCTCATCGCCGCGACCCTCTCAACTCAAGTATCCGACATCTACCACCTCACCGACCTACAAATCGGGCTCTGCTACCTACCCTACGGCCTCGGGTGTTGTGCTGCTGCCCTCAGCCAGGGGTTCATCCTCGACACCAACTACCGCCGCATCGCGCGCAACATCGGCTTCACCATCGACTACAAGCGGGGCGACGACCTGCGGAATTTCCCCATCGAGCGTGCCCGGATCATGCCCATCTACCCGCTGCTGTCGGTCGGCGTCGCTTCAGTCATCGCCTACGGCTGGGTCCTGCAGGCCGAGACCAACCTGGCGGGCCCGTTGGTGTTGTTATTTGTTGTCGGTCTCTGTGTCACGGGGTCCTTCTCTATTCTTAACACGCTGCTTGTCGATCTGTACCCGGAAGCCCCCGCGACGGCGGTGGCCGCGAATAACCTCGTACGCTGTCTCTTTGGCGCCGTGTGTACCGCGTTCATTGAGTATATGCTCAAGGCGCTGGGCCGGGGGTGGACGTACACGTTCTGGGCCTTGATCCTGGTCGTCTTTTCGCCTGTTCTGTATCTGCAGACTATTTGGGGGCCTGCGTGGCGGGAAGAAAGGCGAGTGAAGAAGCTAGAAGAAAAAGAAAAGGAGGAGGCCGCCGCCGCCGCTGCTGCTGCTGGCGCGGTTGCGATATGATTCTAGGAAAATTGGGATAATGACTGATGATGGGGG